TCCCAGAGTGTAGTGGGGAAAGCGTTCCTTCCAGGGAGCCCCCAGAATCTTAGGTGTGAGCTTCGGTGGCCGGGGACAGGTCCTCCGCGCCACGATCGCTACTTGGGATTACAGAGTTGTGCCCATGGAGCGTCCCAAACGTCCTGGCTCCCAAGCCTCTCTCCTACCCACTGTCTGCTTTAAGGGGCGGAGAGACCAGGGCTACCCATCCCTGGGTCCTCCACTGTCCTGCCTTCAGCCTGGGGTCACGTTAGCCTCAGCAGTACTGGGGCAGAGGCGCAGGACCACAGCCCCAAAGCCAATCGCACTGGGCAGAAGAGCGGCGGTGGTCTCGCCGAGTGCCGGCGGGGCCTCAGAGGCCTGCTTCTCCTGTATCCTTCCCGAGCGGGCGCAGCGGCAGGAGCCTGGACACACTACTCACGGAATAAAGGGGCTTGGCGCTCTGCATTGGAGAGAGCCTTGGATGGTTCCTGAGTTAGCCTTGATTGGGATAAAGGTTGCAGGTGTCCTAAAGAAGCGCCCCTAACCCTCCATATGTCAGCCCTTGTGCCGGCCTTTCTGGATTGTGGATCTCTCCTAGAAAGGAAGTTTTGGGGGCAACTAGGGGCACCTTCTAGGCCTCGTGAGGCCGATCTTCTTTCGAGCTACTGAGATTCTCCATTGCGAGACGGCCGCAGGAGGCAAATAGTAGTCGCGGCCCTTCTGCACCCTGGATTCCACAAGCCACCCCAGAAAAACCATTTCCGAGATCCCGCCGCACAGATCGCCTAGGAGTTTTGAAAACAGTCTCCTGAGATGAGGCATGGAGGGCCTTGACCCTGACACCAGGATGCGGGGTCTTTCCCGTCCAGGTTCGCCCCACCTCCGGCTGCGACCCCCAGCGACCTGGAGTTTTTCCCTCTGCTCGTGGCCAAAAATGGCTCCAGAAACAAGGACTAACTCGCGCCAGGTTGGCATCAGGCACTCGTCCTCCTGCAGTCCCAGGCGCATCTACTTAGAGGGGGAGGGCTCTGGTGTCCACTGATTTTCCTGGCTTCCGCAGGCACCCTGGACACTCCCTGGCTCTTGCGCACGCCTGTGTTCTCAGCCCCTCTCTCAAGGCGCCCATGACCCTACCTACACACAGCAGCGCGGTTTTTTCCACGCTGCGGGCACACAGTGTCTCTCATGCCTTCTCACATCTTTCAGTACATTCGCAGGCACTGTGTGGCGGTCCCCCTCCAGCATCCCCTAGGCAACTCTGGGTGCTCAGAGACTGAAACACGAAAAAGGGAAAGGGCCAGTCGTGAGTCCAACTCCTCCTCCGTCCTTCCTCACCTGTCCCTCAACACAAAAAGAGTCTTGCTCTTCCAGAGTTCCTGAGGCATCCCACAGGAGATAGAGCAGGTGGCGCTGTGAGGGCCGAATTTCCTGCATCCTGTCACTCAGCTGGCCTTTCCTTTTCTTACAGACCAGAATTGTGTTTCCCACAAGTACTGGCAATAACCAAGAACTGGGTACCTGTGGCCATGTTCTCTCCCCAGATCTCCCTGGCTCTGTTGAATCTTTGCCTTACTATCTGCTCCCCAGTGGGGCCACCACACAAGATGCAAGAAGTAGGGAATCCAGTGTCCTGACCAAGGTCCTCATCAGGGTTACAGGGTGAGGGTGGGCAGGACAATGACTGGGAGCCCCTCCCATCTCCTATCTGCCCCCAAGGAGATTTCCTTTCTTCTGTCCAGCCYGCTACCCCTGAGACTGCCTTTAATTTATTTGGTTTCGCCCTTGAGGGCTTTGTGAGCATGGGACCTGGTAAGGAACAAATGAAGGGTGTTTGGGAGTGCATGTGATGAGGGGAGCAGAAAGGGAGACTCCCCACTTCTAGTGGCTGCATCCCTTTGGGCCCAGGACAAAACCTGTGGCTTCAGAGCTGCCCTCTGACAGAGGGCAGTGGTTGGGAGAGGRGTAACAGGACTTTGAGATTCCAGTTTCCTTGGTGCCAATAGGAGTGTCTATATTCTCCAGGCAAGACTGCCCAGTTGGAGTGCTCCAGTCTGTGTGCAACTGGTGCTAGCTACTCAGGGTTTTCAGAACTTCTGCATAATTTCCCCCACCCCGTTTAAATAAATATTTTCCCCTTCAGCTGTCCAACGGGGAGGAGAAGCGGGAAATTGCAGCAAGTTGCCCCTGCTATGCGGCCTTTGAATAGTTTTGGAACAGGCACCCGCCCTCTACTGGCACATTAGAACTCCAGCGATCCCACCTGGGCAGACGCTAGAGTGTCTTGGGTGGGACCCCTAATCAGCTGCAGCCTTGGGCTGGGACCATCTCTTTCTCTAGGACCGAGCAGTTAGGTATCCAGGCCTTTACAGTAAGTCCTTCTGAAAGACCGGGCCCTGGTCCCCACAGGTCGGTGGGCAGAAARTGGTTGCTGGCAGGGCAACAGTGTGGATTGTGGATTTGTGTGCTTCTTGGAAAGAAGCCGAATTTGTATGTGTGTCGTCGGCATGTGTGAGAGAGCACACGCAGGCTGGAGGGGGTCCATTTCTGCATTCTCTTGCATATATATCCAAGAGAGAGTGCTTGAGGACCCACTGTGTCTGCAAATGGTAGGAGGGTCTCTGTGTGCTTGGTTCTGTTTTTGAGTGCATRCAGGTATGAGTGTGTGTGACAGTCTATTTCTCTGGGTGGTCACTATGGATGAGAGGGTGAAAAGTTTTGTTGCCATCCAACAGCCGTGGAACATAACTGCCTGAATCAAATTAATATTAAATGTGTATGTTCATGTCTATATGAAAGTTAATATAGTCTGTTTTCCTGTGAGTGTGGGACTGAAAAACAGGGAGTGGGTAGGGGTGATACACATATACAATATGTGTTTGTCTCATTTCCAGAAGTGAATATGGAAAAGAGTGGACTCTGGCATAGCAAGGGGCCCTTTGGGTTGAGGAGAGGTCGTTTTGAGAGGTGGTTTTAAGCATGGATTGGGTTTTTGGACCTTCAGGCAATGGCTAGCCCTTCATCCTTCCAAGCTGTGGAAGTTAGGTCGCCCAGGCCCCACAAGCACAGACAGTACCCAAGAGGACCTGAGTTGTTCCTGAGAGTAGAGCCTCCAGGAGAGGCAGAGAGAAGTATCCCGGCTGGAATTTCTCTCGGGGTGTAGAAGTGAACAAGCGCTGGGTGCCCACGCAGGCGGAGACTCCAGCATCGCTGAGCAGTCCCAGCTGGTAGGTTATCTCCTTGAATTCCAGACCTGCACAGATGGTAGTTCCCGCGCCTAGTTAGGCCACTCAGCTGCCTGAGTCTGCGAGAGAATTCTTGATAACTTAGAAGGTCCAAGGAAAAAGGTCTTCTGATTTTGCCCCGACTTTACCCAAAAGCGCTGATTTTGCCAGTAAGGTAGTCCTAAGAGGTCCAAGTGCTCTAGKATCTCAGCTCAATAAATGTCTCTTCCCCTCCATCCCTTCCAGTTCAGGGACTGCAGTCTGGGCGTCCTAGTCTTGGAGAAGGGATGTGTTCAGTACCCATGGAGCCACTGAAAACCAACACCCAAAAGCTCCAACTTCCTCCTCGCAGAGTTCTTCCTGCTGCGAATCTGGGACCGGCTTGGCCCAGCTAGTTAAAGGGGGCTAGAACCACAGTGGAGAGTCAGCRCTGAAGATTAATTCACCGCCACAGAAGCACCTGTGACGCACTACGCGCGAAGGCGTCCCCTTGGCCTGACCTTCCGAACCCAGGTGCCCACTTACTCTTCATTTACAACACGCGCCCTGCCGGCCCAGCCGCCTCTTTCTCCCCTGTCCACCTCCAGAGCAACCGACTGAAGCATTGGGCGGGTGTCCTACAGGCTACACGCCATACCTGGAGCCTAGGTCTCGGCAGCCGCCCCCTCTCCCTCCAGGCGGGAGGSGGCAGGGGGCTGGCATATCTCCCGAGTATTGCCCCTAGTTCCAGGGGCTGAGACTACTCCAAGGTGTCGGCCAGACAGGATACTTCCGCGGTCTGATTGGTTCCCCAGCCTCCGCATTTCTAAATGCACGTACCCGGCGGGCTGGCACATCCCATCTCCCCTTCCCAGATGGAAAAGGTGGGGGGCTCTGCGCAGTGGTATGGGGAGGAGCCCACACTCTGCCCACTTCTGCAGGGAATTTTCTGGAACAAAAAAAGGGATCCAGGGCTTTGGGAGAGGAAGTTTCAAAGTTTTCAGGCCCTTCATCTAGCAAGTGATACACTTTGTCTGGGAGGGTGCCTCAGGGTTTCCGGGACTCACGGGTTTCTGGAATTCACCAGAGTATCCCTGTAGGGAAATCAGACACTGTTGCACTCTTGGCCCTCGGGCTTCATGGCATATATTCATATATATATTTGATTTCTAATTTTATTATAAAATAAAAGCAGAAATATATTCCGAAGAACATTCACAGGAGGACGTAACAGGGAAACGGCAAGACCGCGGCTCGGGAGGCACGCTCTGCCGGAGTGCTGCGGCCACAGTCCGGGGAAAGAGGAGAGAGCATCGTGGAGGAGCCTCGCAGAGAGAGCGGGAGAAAGCGAGAGCGACAGCGAGAGCGAGAGGAGAATAAAAGGGCTTCTGGGATGCCTTTCACTTAAGTTACTAGGCGAAAAGCTGACACCTGCAGCTCCCACTGATGTGGTGGGTTTCCTCTCCGGAAAGCCTTTGGAGACGACCTAGGATCCAAGACTTTAAGGGCCTTTTCCTCCTCCCCACTCCCGGAAAGTGCGGAGAGGGAAATCAATGGCCAGACCGGAGGAGAGAGAGGGTACAGACCCAGAGGGCCAAGGCAGAGTGCAAGACACCATCAGGAGAGACAAGGAAAAAAGAGCTAGAAATCTAGAAGAAAACAAGGAAAAGCAAGAAGAGGAGACACAAGAGAGGTGAAAGGACAGAAAACTGAGAAAGGAGAAAAGAAAAGGAAAGAAAAAGAAGAGGAGGAGAGGGGTGCAGGCAAGAGGAGAGAAGAAAGAAAAGGCGGAGAGAAAGAATGAGAATGGTGTATATAATTTATTCCCTTCCCTGGTTCAAGACCTGGTCCCCGGCCTCCAAAGGATCTCAAAAGCGGCTTGTTGAAAATAAATTCCAAATAAGGACCCAGAGTGCCATCCGCTTTGTCCCTGCCGGCGGTTCTGCCGGCCTTGCGCGCGGGTCTTTCAGTACCTGGAGGGGCCGCCGGCGCTGGGGCCCTCCGGGCACCGCCTTCTCTCGGGTCCCAGCGCCAAGCCCGGAAGGCAAACGCGAAGAGGCAGCAGAGCTCTACGAGCCCAGGTCCACGAGGTTGGCCGACATGGGGTTGAGGATGGAGTCCTGGAGGCCGTGATGATGCTGCAGTGGGTCCGCCCCGCCTCCGCCCGGCACAGGCACCGGCACTGCGCTGGGTCCGGGAGGGTGGCCCAGGCTGTGCAGGGACGGCAGCCCGGGTGGTGGCGGCGGACTGAGTAGCAGCGCGGGGCTGGACGACGAGTGGTCCGGCGTCCCCGACGGCGTCTTCTCGTCTTCGGAGCTGCCTAGCACCGACTTGCCGCTTCCATTGAGAGAAGAAGCCAGTGGGTTGTGGCTGTTGGAATTGGAGTTCTCGCTGTTCTCCCTGCAAGTGCAGGAGCAAAGCAGCCGGGTCAGCGGGGRAATGAGGCCTTTTAGCGCAGTCTTACCCTGAGCCACTTTGCCACCGGTCTGCGGAGACAGGGCGCCGGCGCCCTGCTTGCGGGTGTTTTCGGTTTCTATGGTTTTCCGCCTGGCCTTGGCTTTTCATTTATGCCAGTTTTCACAATCTTTCAACAATCTCTCTCCTATATCATCTCCCTCTCTCTTTCTCCCCTCCCATGCTCTCAATCTCTTGACTATCTTTCCTACTCTATCTACCCCCCTCCCTTCTTCCAGGAGAAGGCGATCCTGGAGTTGGAGGGTAGGCAGGAAAAAAAAAAAAAAAAAAAAAAAGAGGATACCTCGATTTTCAGATTGCTCTAGGCATCTCCAGGTAGGTTTACTAAATAGAAGTGGGGTCAGGAGGATGAGGTACCCTAGATCCCAGGCTGGGTGACCAATTTGAAAGTGAGTCTCTCAAAGCCTTTTATTTCTTTCTGCTTTTCTCTGCATGAGAGAAACTTTTGGGCACAGGGTTCCGATCCGGAGGGGCCTGTTTCTCCAACCTGGGCACATTCTGTGAGGGCTGCCCTTGCTAAGCCTAGGATCAAGGCTTCAAGAATAGAGGGTTCCCTTTCCCTGGTGGGCATAGTGGAAACTTTGGCCAGGGAATTGGAAGCTGGGGCATGGAGGGTAGCCCCTGGGAGAAGACAGAGGGAGGACTTGGTAGTCTTGACCTAGACTTTTCCATCATAACCGGAAACTCCAGCTCTCACCAGGGGCTCCAGGGAAGGCAGTTCTTAAGGAGTCTGGACTTAGGCCAGTCTGGATTAAGGGGTCCCAGCAAAGAGAACTCACCTCTTGCCCTGCCTTGCTGACAGTCCCTGCTCAGACTTGGATATTTGAAATCCTGAGTAGAGTCTCTTTTTCGCCAGGGGCTTCTGTTCCTGATATCTTGGGAGAGGAATCCACAGACAGGCTTCGGGAACCTGACCACTGTGGATACCCCAACCTCAAGATACCAAAGTTCAGATAMCAAAGTTCAGTCTGCAGCATTCCCTCCATTTCCACTCTTCAGCACTCCAATTCTGACCCTGATCATTCAAACTCTGGGCGAAACTAACACCCCATACCGCCAACCTCAGGTGTCCTATTTGACTGTTACTTTCAGGTTGGATTCCGTTCCTACAATTACTTTCTCTCCCACCCCCTGTCCAGATTTGGAGTTCTGAGGGGCTACAAAGCAGGCAGTAACAAGGGCCTGCTGGTCAACCCCTAGACTATTTCAGAAAGTCCTGGTTTCCCTGACAACACACAACTCTCAGGCCTTGTGAGCTCTTAGCTCACTCGTGACATACCGACCTACCCCCTAAAGAGGGTAGTAGAACCTGAGGAAAAGGGTCAAGGGCCTGGCAGTCCAGGGAAGGGCTGCTGGGTCCAGTTAAGCAGCAAAGGGGTCATGTGTTTCTCCTCTTCTCTCAGAGCTGGCACTTGCTCTCTGGAGCCTCACCTCAATCCTCTGCATGCAGCATAAGAGACTGRCTCTCAACTCCCACATTCAGTCAARGAATATTCTTGCCCAGGCGCTTCTTCATCCAGTCCATACTATGGAAATCCCAGTCCTGACCCCTAGTCACACTTAGGTTTGGAGGTGAGTAAGACTGAGGGGAAGTGCAGGGAAGCACGGAGCCAGTCAGGAATCGCCTCCCGCTTCTACCTGGGCCCACACAGAGTCCTTGGCCTTTCCAGGTAAGACCAGGGCCTGCCTGCTGTGCCTACTTTGTGCGGGTTCAGGCCCACAGTTCTGCCCTCTCCTTGAAGCTCGCTGCTTCTCCACTTTTGTCCATAAACGACCAGGGAGTTAGTTGACAACTTCCCGCATTGGGCTTTGCCCGCTTTAGACAAATCCCTGCCCGCCGGTCTCCGAAAAGACCTGTGCGCCCTCTAGGTCAGGCTAGGCTGCAGCTGGCCGTGGCTGGGACTGRAGGGTCCAGTTTAGGCCTCGCTTGGGGTTGGGCAGACGCCCCTGCGACCCACTCCCTCGGGCCCGGGAAAGCCGGCGCCGAAGCTGTACTTACTCGTACCTTTCCTTGGCCTCCGCGGCCCGGTCGCGCTGCCGCCGGTTCTTGAACCAGTTGCTGACCTGCGTGGTGGTGAGGCCTGTGGCCTCCGCCAGCTCGCGCTTCTCCCGGGGTGACGGGTAGGGGTTGTGAGCGTACCACTCTCGCAACACGCTGCGACTCTTTTCCTTGAAGCAGTAGCTGGTCTCCTCGCCGTCCCAGATGGAGCGCGGCAGCGGGAACTTGCGTCGCACGCGGTATTTGCCCACAGCGCCCAAGGGCCGGCCACGCAGCTTCTCCGCCTCGATGTAGTGGGCCTTGAGCCATAGCTGCTGTAGCTTGGCGTGGTTGTGTGGCGAGAACTGGTGGCTCTCCAGGATCTTGTAGAGCTCGCGGAAGTTGCCGCGGTGGAAGGCCACCACGGCCTTGGCCTTGAGCACGCTTTCATTCTTGTGGAGGTGCTCGCAGGCGGGCAGCGACCACAGGAAGCGGCCCAGCCGCTCAATGTTGCCGCCCTGCTGCAGCACCTCGCACACGCACGCCACTTGCTCCTGCGTGAAGCCAAAGGTGGGCAGCATGGACATGGTGCCGGCTGCGCCCCCGCCCGCCCGCGCGCGCCCTCACCGCGCCGCGCAGTCCCGCATGGGCGCCTCCCCGCCAGCCGTCCGGGCCGAGAGGCGGGAGGGGCGGGCCCCCTGGTCCGGCGCTGGCTCCCGGCGAGTCCTGAGTCACTGCAGTACGTCCTCSTGCCGGCCGCGGGTCCCGCGCAGCTCCGCGCCCCCGCCGCCTGCGTGCCCAGCCCGCGCCTTCGCCCAAGTCCGGGGGCCGCCTGGGGCGCCGCTCCGCATGCTCTGCGCCCGCCCGCCGCTCCCTAGTTCGCTTCTCGCTCGCTCTCCCTCCCGTCTAGCTCGCTCGCAGCTTTTTTAATAATATTATTCTAAGCGGGCATGAGGCGCGGCGGCCCGCGCCCTGATTGGTCCGGTTATCTGACCCGGGGCCTGCCCGCGCCAGACAATAGTCGAGTCAAATTATTCGCCATGGAGACGCTGTCAGTCACTGGTAACCCGAGCCCCGGCGGGCCGGGCGGCTCCCCCCGGCCGGCTCCGCTGACAGATCGCCCGGCTCCGCGAAAAGCTGAGGGCGGCCCGAGACAGGAGCCGGAGGCGCTCCAAGAGCTTGGGAGGCGGAGAGGAGCTGGCAGGGGCCGGCGGCGGCGGTGATTGACGGGGCGGACGCCCAAAGAACAAGGAGGAGGAGGAGGACGCGGGAGGGTTGGGGGAGACTGGACGCCAGAAGAAAAGGGGAGGTGGGGAGGGAAGAGGAGAGAAGGGAAGGCGGAGGACCGTTTAAGGGGGTTCCTGGCAGGAAGGGGAGGGAGAAGGGTAGAAGGAGCTTCCAGGGGGAAGGAATTTGGGGCAGCTTTTTGCAAGGGGCGGCGCTGCAGCCTCACCCAGGCTCTGCTAGTTGCCCGGGTCCCACCTGGGTCACCGCATCCCTGCCAGGGTGGCTGTTCGCAGGCAGATACTATCCAGGAGCGGACTATTGGGATGGAGAGTTTGGACGTGCCCAGGCGCCGCTCAAAAACTTGGCTTTTTCTACTGAAAACGCCCCACCCCCATGCTAGAAACTCCGGACCCGAGCTGTCCTCGAGGGAAAGGGGGAGGGAACAGGGGAGAGAAGTGGGGGACTTGGCAGTAGCTGCAGGCGGACGCCTGAGAATCAACTTCCCGGAGGATCCCGCCTTTCCTCCCTCTCCTAGYCCGGCCGGCTGCCCCTCAGCCGGTACCGCCCTACTCAGCGCGCTSTGCTCCTTGTCGGGCGGGGACTCAGACTTAACCCCACGGGTCCCACGGCCCGAGAAACCTCAGGCAGTTCCGTGTGGCTTATACGGAAGTTGATTCCGGCGGGAGCGGCGACGAAGAGCCGTGGAACGACGTACACCTACAGACTACCGACGGGGAGCTGAAGGCAGGGGCTCCAGCTCTTCCCGGTTGGGTGGTAGGGAGGAGAGAGTGGTGGGAGCGCCACCGTCCAGCCTCTACGCTTGGACTCGGCTCAGGCTCGGCTCGCACTCCTTCCAGGCGGCTTCAGCCTGGGAACCGCGAGCTGGGCTCGGTAATGAGGGCCTTAGAAAGAGGGATTTTTTTCTTTTCTTTTCAGGGCACGGTACATTTTCTCTGGCAGAAGGGCGCACGTGGWGGAAATGAGAGAACTGGGGTGTGTTTGTGAGGGGGTGTTACTTCCATCTCCACGGTTTTGAAAGGCCCCGAGCTTAACTAGTTCTGCGACTTGTCCTTTCCCCTTCCGTTTCCCCTCTCCACTCTCAGTTGTTGCAGGCCGGAACTCCCAGTGCCATTCTCAATGCTGGGTCCCCAGCCAGCACAGATCTCTGGCCCTCCTCTCAGTATAGGGCTATGGAATCAGAGTCTAGAATACATTTCTTGTTTCCACCCTTTTAAGCTTTTAGAGGGTTTGTGCTAGCAGTCCTGGCATGGAAGTCCAGGGCCCTAACTTTTTGCTTTGCTTTATGTCTAAGGCTAAGGCACATATTTATTCCTTTAAGTGTTCTTCAGGATTTTCAAAAATTTCCTTCTATAGTGCTCTAGCATGCTGGGGTTCCTTTGGGGGTGTTGCAATCATGAGAGTGGAACACCTGGAATCTCCCTAAGAGTTTGTTCCTAGGTGCTTGCCCCTTGTGTTGAGGCCAAAGGGCTGTCAAATTAGGTTCCAGACCAGTGGCAGGACAGCTTCCTGCAGATATCCAGGTGGTATCTTTGGAGTCTTCATCTGATGCATCCAGGACATTCTATCCAGAATCCTATGCGCTGTCACACAAGATTTGCTCCAGAGTCAGCCAGGAGGACCTTGAGAAACATTGAAGAAAATTTACTCCAGACTGCTCTGAGGTTCAGAGCCACCTTGCTAACGTTCAGCAAAGGTGACCTGCTCTTTCCAAGACCTCAGGCACACATTTGAAAGACTCCCAGTAGCAGGCTGGCCCCAGTTCTAGCCAAGGTCATTTTATATCTCTGCAAGATCAGGTTGGGGCTGGAGGAGAGTGCCTTGTTGGGCGTGGGTGGATGAGTCCAGGCAGTTACTTCCTCCTGTAAGACTTTGGGCCAGTTTCTGGTTTGCTCTGCTTCATTCTTTCTCACTATTAGAAGAGGCTTGGGTGATCTCTCAATCTCTGCTGATTCTAGGCTGGTGTAGTTTTAATAATACTAACCTTGACAAAGTGGGTGATCTCTGCAATCTCAGTCCCAGACTTTACCATGAATGTGCCTCTCCTGGGATATCTGGAGCTTCAATATTGAACTTCCCTCAGAACTGTTCAGTGAGGGAAGTTTTTCTGTATCTTTTTCAGACTCTGGGAGGGCAGACTTTTTTGGGGGGGGTAGCACTGGGAGAGACGGAGTCTGAAAAAGATACAGAAAAACTTCCATGCCCTAAATCCAACAGGCAGCCTTGCCAGGAACCTCCACAGCACTCAGCTGTGGAGACAGAACAGAACAGATGGGGAACCTACCACCTTGGGTAATAGAGTGTGTGTGCCATATGAAAAATCATTACAGAGTAAGCACAGAAAACTTGATGTATGGGTGTGTGTCCTTATGCCACTAGTTATCCTCTCATGTTTGTAGGAAACCAGTTCTAGCAGGTCTGGGCCGGAACTTCTTGACCACAAGGGCTGTTGGATGTCTGCCCTAAAAAGTTTAGTAGCTGAGCTAGGGTCTCTTCAGTCCCTCCTTGCCTGGCCTTCTCCCTGACAGTGTTTGTCACAAGATGAAACACTTGGTAGGTGTCTGGGTGAGGATTTGGTAGACGCCAGCTTGACCCCAAGACAATTTCATTCCCATTTCCAGCTTAGAGCAGCTGCTCCTAAGGCCTGCAGTGCCAGGTGCTTTGGGTCTACCCCAGATGGAAATGTCCAAAATCCCTATCTTTCTCCCCTCAGAGTACACACCTAAGAGACTTATGGCTAGCCTACTTTGCTCATAGAGCAGTAGCAGGAGCAGTTCCAAGGCCAGGAAAGAGAAAACTTTTGTAAACCCACGGAAATCTGGGCTTCATTGAAATGCCTCCTTTTACCTCCAAGCTGCTCTGAAAGTCCCCTAGGAGGATAGGACTTGCTGGAAAGCTGTAGTGGGTGGGCCCCATGATCTCACGCTGACGGAATGCCTTTGCCCTAGACTTTTGGTCAGGGACAGGCTGGGGCCTTTGAGTCTAAATTGGTCAGAAGTTCGTAGGACAGAGCCCAAAGGCCATTAATGACCAGTCACTGATCAGCTAAGGACTGACACATTTGGCCCATCATGGGACTTTTAGCTAAAGGGAGAAAGCAGCCGTGCAGTGCTCCGAAGGGCTTCCTTTGCTTTGGGTTGGGGCCATTTCAGAAGGAACGGGGTGATCTAGGGGGAAGGACTGGAAGGTTATTTCCAATGCCAGAGGATGGGAAGGCCATCCTTACCAGCAGGAATCCCTGTTTGTGACTGAGGGAAGAAGAGAAAGGAGCCGTCGGTGCCAAACCAGAAAACCAGAGCTGTGTGCCTGAATCGTTTTTATTTTTCCAGCCCATAATCGCTATAGAAATCCCAGGCAGAGTCCTGCCCTGGCATCGCCYGCCTCAGGCCTTCCACGCCGCTCCGCATGCAGCACGGTTTCTGCATTGCCCATCGCTGGGCTCTGAGGGTCTGGACCACCAGGATCAGGTCGGGGCTCTTGGCGGTTCCGCAGCTCCGGGCGCGGTGCCGGGCAGCCTCGGTGCCTTCTCTCCCCACCGCACGCTCGCCCAGACCTGGGCCCTTCCCGAGGCCTGGCGACGTGTTTCGTTGAAAGCGGGCCAGGTCAGTTGCGCCCTGACGGTAGGCACCTGGRTTCCCGCCGCGTCCCCACCTGCGCCTACAAATCCACCCGGTCTGTCCGTCTGTCGCGTGAGGGAGGGCACAGCTGGGTGTTTGCAAAGCCCGACAGTCCAGGCGTTTCCGCATTGCCCAACGCTAGGGGCAAGTAGCGGAGCGGAACTTCTGCTCACGCGAACACTCCGTGCAGTCCCTGCGGCCCCCCGAACAAGTGCAAGGTTGCAGGACCCTGGGCTACGGTGACCTCACTCCTGGCGTCGCCTATGCCGCACGTGGTCGCCTGGTCACAGGCTCTGAGAGCCAGAACAGCACCAACCCGTGGGTCCCCGCGCTCCTCTACCCTCCGAGCCCTTAGCTTACGACCTGGAGGCCCCTCAAAAGAAAACGGTTTGGAGGCCACGGCCTCTCAAGGGATCTTGCTCAAACGAAAAGAGACCTGGGGCCCGTTTGAAGGCCGGCAAGGCGGCGAATTGGCCTGGGCGTTGCCAGGCCCTGGTGGTATTTGAGGCGGGTGCCCAGACCCGAGGTGTCTGGCCACCCTCCTGTGGCCACTGGTCCCGCTCGCCCTTGGGTTCCAGCCTGCCATCACCGCTCAGACCTGGTGTGCCTTCTTACAGAGCCGGGTTCCGTTCCGGGCCCTTTCGTCCAGGGGTGGGGGCGCCGGCGCCGCGGGCCAGGCATCCGGTGAGCGGGCCGGGCTCGCAGCTTTTGGTCCAGGAAGCGGTAAAGTCCGCCGCGGGGTAGTTTTTCCGCGGGACAGTAGAAGCGCTGTGCGTCCCTGTCCAGTCTGCGGCCGGTTCTGC